TTTTTATATGTACGTCCGTTGGCCTATTTTACCCGTTATACACTGATTTCCCCCTTCTTTATTTATCTGAACTGCAATAATGAGGTCAGATGCCCATTATGTTAGCACTGTTTTGAAGGAAGTGAAGTCTGACTCAAAGTTTGCAAATCATTCATCGACCATTCTTCATGATGTCGACAGTTGCAGTTTTCGACAGTGGGCACCTGGGATCTTCTATTGTGTTATCTGTTTTGCATACCCACTTTTATTCTCTATGAATAAAGGCTTTTTTGCTTAAAGATTTAGAAATGTCATTTTCAAATTAAAGCGCATCCCTCATTCTATCTAACCAATAAAGAGGCTGCCTCTTATTTCTAATTTGTCAACTTCAGCTACGGAGCACACATGTGAAACCAGTGAACTGTTTCATGCAAAGGCTGGCATTCTGACATGACTGAAATTGCTCGGCTGCACGGTCTCGAGAGCAAAATAGCTGCATCTCTTGCGGGCGGTTTCGATGATGTCCACCGTGTGCCCTGCAGTTGCAGCAGCAATGGGAGCAGGGACAGTGACTTACGCAGTGGTTTATAGTGCCGGTTGACTTGCGTAGCATCTACCTACACTCTCTCCTCCTCCCTCGTCCGAGCCCGGTGTCAAGACAGAGTCAAGAAGACCGGAGACGAGAGAGGCCGCAGGTGGATGGCTCGGAAATATCCTCGCCTTGGCGCTCCACTCCGCACCCCGTGGTCCACACACAAATGACCAGGATTTCAACCAACACAAGAGAGATTTGGAGGCTGGCACGGCCGAAGCCGCACCTGGGCGTGCCGCCAACGCCTGGCTCAGATCCCACACTGTGATGGGAGTGCCATAAAGGCCACATTAAGAAGAAGCCATTACAGCCTGACTCTCAGACCCCCAACAGTCGAGGAGGAGGTCCAAGTTACCCCGTCAGTTGGAAACCTTCCACCACCACCACCACCACTGATGTTGTGGAAGGGGGCTGGGGCGGGTTGTTACACAAGATCCGCACACTTTCCGAATTGTGCCGCCACTTATTTCTGCTCTACGTGCACATGTGCTGCACGATCTTGAGAAGACGGCAGCTGCATCTCTGGCAGGCTGTATCTTCAGCCACAGTTAAATATGAGCAAATACCCAACAAACAAAGCCCTGCATTAATTAATCTGGAAATCTAACTTGCGTTCTTTCCAGGTGGAAGTAGACGTTTTCTGCTTGGACGAAACAGGCAAGTTCCCTGTGCTGCAGTGTATGACTGAGGACGTTGCAGTGAGGTCTTTTCTCTCCCACCGTAATCCTCACATTAAATTCCGTGTACACGCCAGCGTCGTATAGTCCCTTATAGTACAAGCGTTTAATCTTTCTGATAAGACTCTGAACAACATCTTCAATTATGATATGGCCATCAGTCGTTAGACACTTCCTCATCGCTGGGCGATGGGGGCGGGAGTCTGAAAGGAAAGATCATATGTCAACGTGTACAAAAAGGGCAGCATCAACTGTAAAGAGAGACAGAGAAGAAAGAAAGACAGGATAACGATTTATGCCTACAAGCAGTTGTCCGATATTTTGAAAGGCAGCATGAAACTGCTGTCGCACAGACCAGCAGGGCTAGGGCCGAAGAATGCATTTCCTTGGCCGTCTCGTAGTCCTCCTCTCTCTCTCTTTCGTTCAGTTCGTGTCGTTGAATTTATCGGAGACTTCAGCCAATAACGTGTTCTATCCTCCGTGTAGCCTGTCACAATGACCAATCCCAACGCCTCTGTCAAGCATACCTGCAGATATTGCCGCCTGTCTCTGTGTGGACCACTGGAAATGCCAGTGCGGTGTTTTCTCAACTATCACCTTCGACCGGGGTCAGCAATTCCAGTCTAGACTATTTACTAGCCCTCCTGACATCTGATAGAAGCGAACAGACGAGTCCCGGGTAGCAGTTCAGAAGATGAAGATGCGATCACTGGAACAAGAAGTTTATTTGCCTGACGTTTCGGATTCTCACTCGAATCCATCTTCAGAGAAATTCTCAGATAAAGGTGATGGTGGCATCAGGAGTGCGGTATTTGTAGCACGTGGCTGCCGTGGGACCGTATGCGCACTACAATTAACAGTTCTCGAAATCGCCGCTGGGGTCGTAATTGATGCGGTGGTGACTTGTCGGTCCGAGTCCGAGTCGTTAATCGCCGCGATTTCGTCATCCGTGCTCGATGCTGGTGTGACGATTGCTCGGCAAACTGGCTCACTGTCACCGTGATAATTGCTTACCCGCGCCCTCCCCACGTGACTGATTCTCCTGCCCAGGGAAAATCACAGTACGCTATAGGGTACCGGGAGGTCATTGTGTTTGTTGATGGATTGCGGGCCTGAGGACCATGACTCGAGCAGCTCGCGGCTCACGCGGTTGTCACCCCTTGCGAGGATTTCGGCCTCTTGAAACTTGAAAATATGGTCGGGTCCCGTCGAGTGTGCCGCCACTTGAGAGTTGGCGTCTCCCCGCCTCACTGCTGCTGCGTGCTCGGCAAGTCGCGTACGGAGTAATCTCCCAGTTTCTCCGACATAATTGCTTTGTCCGCAACTACACCAGATCCGGTAAACGACTCCAGACGTTTCCTGTCGTGGCAGCGGGTCTTTTGGCCTCATGACTTGGCGCCTAATAGTTGCTTCCGGCCTGTGTGCAACCCCAACTCCAAGTGGAGTGAGAAGACGTCTGACGGCTTCCGAGAAGTTCTTCACGTACGGAAGAGCCCGCCAAAATTTGGGGTTAGTTGGATTTGGTCTCTGGTGTCCTTATCGTATGCATTGGTTGACAAAGTTGAGCGGGTAGCCATCGGCTCTCATTACCCTCCTGACATCCTCAGACGTTTGCGAATACACAGGGCAGTTTGCCATCGCTCATCCAGCGATCTAGTCGAGCATTTTCTTCGTCAAGTCAACTCTTATTGGAGCGAGCACGTTACCTTAATGATGATTAGTATCCGTACGGCGCGCAAACGTGATTTGGAGAACTCGCCGCTGATCATTTAATGGCAATGCCCTACAGATATCCGGAGATTTTTTTGATCAGACGTTCCTGATTATGTCCTAGGGTTGAGACAATCAATGATTAATCTCCATGCCATTCCCGTATATTCGCCTTAACTGAGTAATTTGCCCTTTGGTGTTTGTCCGCATCGATGTCATTCCCGAGCCATTATGATCGGCCTATGACGGACCCCTCCGCGTCGAGTCGCGTACAACGCAGCATTTCGATAACTCCCCTGACAATCGTGCTGAGGTGAATCTAATCGACCGCTCCCCTTCAACCACGCCAGAAAGGCCAGTCTTCTACGTCTGCCACAGTGCCTCCGGCGATCTCCCGGCCTCCGTTTACACATGACAACTCTGCATATTCTCCTACCCGTCCACGCATCTCCGCCTCCTACGTGCAGTGGCTCTCGGTCCTTTTTCTCTGATCATACCTAATTTGTGCATTAGGCCTAGTAATTTTTCAGCGTTGATTAATGTCTTGTGTTTGTGCGATCAATTCTTGCAAGAGAGGTAGTATTGTAGCAACATAAGGACTCTTGTTTTACTTCACCCATGACTTTTGTTTTAATGGCATAAATTGCCTTTGAGCCTTGGCACCATTTCGAGTAAGCTCCCACCCGTGCCCTCCCCCACGCCTCGCCTCGTGACTCGCTTCTTCCTTCTCATTGGACTGGCGTCAGTGCCCATCCCCCCACCCAGATAACTATGTATGCTTATCGTGCGATATTTCCGTGTAAATGCTATACACACACCTAGGTGATCTTTTCTGATGTGCCTGGAAATAAATGCGTGGTGAAGAGACTAGGACGCTCAGTGGAAGATTCTCCAGAATGACATGTCCAAAGTTTCTTCATTCGCCCTGGCAAATCAAGCCGTCTTTGTAAGCGGCACATTCCCGTGGGTGATGTCGAACTCCCTACACAACTGGCATGAAGTTGGTTTAGTAGGTAGATATGCCGTAAGCGATACAATGTGAAAATAAACTCTCCACCAAGAACTGATCAGCTGATTTGAGGAGTATTGTTCCGAGGTGAGCCTGGTGTTTGTGGAAATTCCAGCAAACGGCCACATCGGCAGCTCTTCTGTGCAAGAACCCCTTGCATGTAGACATGTAAGAACAGTTGGGGAGACCATATACTTACGGCTTGCCGTATCCATAACAAACAGTTGTGGAGCGCATGACTTGAAGTACAAAGCTGACAGTCGAACAAGCGCTCTTGAGTGAGCAGCGAAATTAAGAGAAAGCATTTATGCGAAAAGTGACTCAAACACATCAACAGAAATCAGTAGGTCAAAACTTAAGGGGTTGGTTTGATAGGAGCCTCCACTTCGGGTAGTGCCAGACCCGAATTACTTTTCCTGCTTTATCCAACACTGTACTGGCCCTCCGCTGACAAGTGCCTTCCTGAAAATTGGGTCGATATACTCCAGAACATTCAGCGACCATTGCGTTGGGTGTTGACCAATGAGAGGTTTCGTGACGGCGTCAACCTCTGCTGTGATATTCCAAATGCCCAGTCTGTCAAGTTCTATTATATGCGGTGAAGAACTAGATAGCGTCCAGTACGGTTCATGTATCACTGCTTCAAGTGTGACGGCTGGGAGAGTAAAGGGGAAACTTTCCTGCTGTATTCGATCGCTTATATTGGCCTCCTGTTGCTTCGTGAAATATTAGACAATTGACTGAATTGTCAGTCAAGAACACGTTCACTACATTGCTTACGGCTTAGAATTTTGACTACATATAGATATATAAGTAATTCTTAACAATCGGTAGATAGTGCGGCTTGATGAGCAAGTAAGTGTTGTTATCTACTGCCAATGACGTTTAATTTCTGAGAAAATTTTATGGAAATTTTTATAAAAATTTGTGACATGCTGGTTGCCCCTGCTGATCGATTTTCTGCGCATTTATCAACAACCTTCAGGTGACAGACCGGCAAGCATTACACAGTCCGTGGGTACCGGGCCGCACCTTATTCACCACCACCACCACCATCACCACCACCACCATCACCACCACCACCATCACCACCACCACCACCACCACCGTCACCACCACCATCACCACCACCACCACCATTGATGTTGTGGGAGTGGGCTGGGGCTGGTTACCACGCAAGATCCGCACACTCAGAATTGTGCCGCCACTTTTTTCTGCTCTACATTCACATGTGCTGCACGATCTCGAGAAGACGACAGCTGCTTCTCTGGCAGGCTGTATCTTCCGCCACAGTTAAATAAGAGCAAATAACCAACAAACGAAACGCTGCATAAATTAATCTGGAAATCTAACTTGCGTTCTTTCCATGTAGAAGTAGACGTTTTTTGCTTGGACGTAACAGGCAAGTTCCCTGTGACTCAGTGAATGACTGCGGACGTTGCAGTGAGGTCTTCTCTCTCCCACAGTAATCTTCACTGTTGATTTCATGTACATGCCATCATCCTGCTGTTTCTCATGGTACAAGCGTTTAATCCGGCTGATAAGACTCAGCACAACATCTTCAATTATGATATGCCCATCAGTCGTTGGACATTTCCTCACCACTGGGCGAGGGGTCGGGAGTCTGAAAGGAAGGATCATGGGTCAGCGTACACAAAAAGGGAAGCCCCAACTGAAAAGAGAGACAGAAAAAGACAGGATAGCAGTTCAGGCCTACAAGCGGTTGTCCGAAATTTTGAAAAACAGCATGAAACTGCTGTCGCACAGACTAGCAGGACCAGCACTGAAGAATGCATTTCCTTGACCGTCTCGTAGTTCTCTCTCTATTTCCTTCGTTGAATTTATCGGCGTCGTTAGCCAATGACGCGTGGTATACTCCGTGTAGCCAGTCACGGGCCTTCTCATTCGCCGATCTGCAAGACGGCCCATGAGATTAGCGATCGTAGACGACAGTCCTGAATACGCAATTCGGCAAATTGTCTCCAGTGGTTTTGCATCGGGTACATTTTAGAACAAAGTCGTCGCCACCAAAGACGAGGAGTCATTAGATGTGGATAAAGGATGAAATGTGGTGTAGAAGTGGTTTTTCCGTACATCCGTCTCATGAAGCAATTCCTATGTTTTTATTTTGCAAATTAGAAGCACGCGCAATTGAGTGAACGATAGTCCGCATTTTCGCGCTCGTACGGGAACCCTTATTCGGAAATCACGATGGTGCAAAGACAGTCTGAGCGTTTGGAACTTAAATAGACGTTCAGCATGAATACAAACTGTCTAAGTGTCTATGGGATTAGCTGCAGCCAGATTGGCCTCGAAAAAAATAGATTCTGTGTAGGGGGATATTTCGGCTATTCTTAGGATTTTATCTATTTTACTAGAACTAAGACTACTAACAGAAACGTTCTTACAAGAGCCGGACTGGACTTTTTCTTTAGTTCTCCTTGGCCATCGAAGGCACCTCGTTTGTTTAGTCCAAAGGACTGTTCCGTAACGTCCAATTAATTCTTCATGGAACGCGTCTCCATTTAATGAAATTAATTTCCTCCAATTTATGGTACGATGTTGAGTACTGTAGAATTCTTGGTAAATTGAGTCACACGTATAAGCCAAAAGAAATATCGGTGTATATATGTTACCATTGATAGAATAAGGTAATGATAAGGAAAGTACAAACCTCAACAATGGATACCTTAGACAATGAATTACTCTGATACTGTTCGAGAAAATCGAATTCCCAGTTCAAGGTCAAAATACAAAAAACTAGTTAATTAAAAGAACGCAGATCACGCTTGAAAGAGGGTTACCAAAAGATGGAAGGCGAATGTCAGCAGGGGTCAGATGTGGAAGCCCTTGCGAGGAGGAAGTGGCGAATTCTAAGCGTCGACCAACTGGATTCAACAAGTGGCATAAGTATCCATGAAACTAGCATAGGCACACATGAAACAAATGCATTATCGGGGGAGGGGGATGCGGTCGTTGGAGCAGGAATTTTATTGGCCGGACGTTTCGGATTCTGTCTCACACTCATTATCAGAGACAGTCGAAGATCTGCCTTTCCGGACTCCATATATTTGCGTAATGGCCATTAGGCAGTTTCTTCTCAGAAAGAAAGTGTTGCTTAGTTGTTCTGAAGACGGAAGACGGTAAAGACATTGAGCCCTGTGGCCTTGAACTGAAGAATTCGCAACCGCCCCGCCACTCTTACAGGTCGGCTTGCGTTCAGTTTTGGCACCCAATCCCTGTGCTAATCCTAACCCCGACTGTAGCCACAGATGTCTGGAATTTGGCGCGATGCCACCTGTAATGCGTGGGGTGTCTACTCTCAGGTCCTGCGAGCCTACATGACACAGACACTAACCGTTAGAACTGGAGCAGGACGGTTTCTGGTGCAAAAGAGATGAGTAGTATGTGGGTATACAGCCGCACTTGGGGAGCGTAATCCTAGAAGCGACCATCACCATCTTGTCAATGACAATCCATTCTTTGGATAGGAGCCATCCATTGTATTTTAAAAAAGATCTCTGCAGAGTTTTTACATTTGTTTCATGCGAATGACAGCACGCACTTAAATGACAGTAATTTTAAAAGTTGGAGGACCTGTAAAAAGCGTTCTTGGTCGCAACACGTGCGCGTTGCCACCTCGCGTCCAATTTCTTGTTTGCAAGCCATATAATTGACGAATGCACCACTGAATGTTGAAAAAAGCTTTAAGTATGAGAATAATTGATGATGACTAGATTTCGATGACTCCCATGTTTCTGCATCCTCCGATCATTCGCCCACAATCTGGATTCATAGAAATAATTTTAATAAAAACTATAGTCATATTAAAATCAAACTGTCCGAAATTTCTATAAATTGTGCAAGAAACACTCTGTGTAGACCTACGTGAATTTTGTTATGTATACCTAACCACGCCAAATGGAAATTTATGCTTGATTTCCCTTTTAAAGTTGGTGTCAACATTGATCAGTCAAATGATCCACAAGCTGCTGGTTGACGGCTCAGAAAGTTGGAAGCCAGTTCTGTGTCATAATGAGTTCGGATGGCTAAGGAGGTAAGACCGCCTTTGCCTGTTCAAAAGCACTTTTTCGATCAATGATCAGTTTTAGCAACGACTCATTCCAAGTAATCGACAAAGAGGCCTTAGAATCGTAGCGAATAAAGGGGGTAACTAACTCAAAGAATGAAAACAATTGGCTAACATCATTGGGGCTCGACGCCGCTTTCACGGCCCTGAGATCATTTTCGAGTGAATATATGTCAGTTTTATCCACCTTGAAGACCAAAGGTGCCAACGAGTCGGCAAGGAGGGTGCTGTAATCTTTCTGGAGTTTTAAAACTGCGCCTTTTAAACGTGCTAACACGACGTTGAGAGTTTTCAGCTAATGGGTCCTGATGAGTTGGCTACTTATTTATCGTCAGGATATGTGCGTTAAGCTGAGATACGTCCTTCACGAGGCTATCAGTCAAGCATTGAAATGAACCGGGAGCAGAATTTACTCCAAATAGTATTGCCATGTATCGAAACGAACCGCGATGCTTTGTGATGTCTCAGAGCCTGAACGACGTTCTCTTGCGCGTACATGATTGACTTTCTCTACATAATAGCGGCCGCTTTTGTTTGTGCTAAAAGACACTGAACCAGCAGATAAGGGTGGTTCGATAAGCCCGTGTAAATCAAGCGAAAGATATTGCAGGGGTCCACAAGATGCATAGAATCGACATTCTGTGCGAGCATTGCGCTGTATTTTCTCCTGACTTCACCTTTTCCCGGCCATTGCAGGAGGGGCTCTTGTATTCTTTTGGGTTTGTGCCGATTTATGAGATCAATATATCTTGCTTTACAGGAGCAAATTAACGAGCTACTGCACCACTGAGCTGGTTTGAAAAGGGCAATCTATCCTTGCCTTCTTCGCGTAAAACAGTAATAACAGAGGACATTTTTTGAACTCTTGCTACTGTAAAGATTCGTGGAACAGCATGTATATGACATCTTCTAAAGAGTTCACTCGCGGCATGCACTTATAAATGGGACTTTCATGCACAAAGTTTTAGTTGCAGCAGTCAATTTGGTGGGTTTTTCGATCGTGCGGTAGTGTTATTTGCAAGAAAACAGTTACTCAACTAGTCTCGAATCGTCGAATCTTCTCTGTGAAGTTATTCAGATAACAGGTGGTATCCTTAAAGCGAAAAAACATATGATCTATTCAAACACAGGCTGGTTATTTCCCATTTGACAGAAGTTACGAACATCCGCGCTTATAAAGAACGATTTTGCCAAATTAAACTGAATGGCCAAATAAAATCTATAAACAGACTCTTATTTGTGAAGAAACTTTACTTAGATCGGATCAGTCCTGTAAATCCACTTGATCTCTTGGTTCAAGCAGCCAACTATTAATCATCTTTTATAAGCACGAAGTGCGCATACCGGGATGAAAAACTCACTAGGGCCAATATATTTAAGGATGGATTTTTTAGAATGGCGATTATGAGTTTGAGGTTTTACTTCTGTTTACTCAAAAAAGGCTGTTAAGATTTTGAGTTTGTATTTTTTTCAACATAAAAATGGCATCACTGTTTTATTGGTTTCGATTGTGTAGAACAATTTGCATACAATATGACTCGTGTTCTCCGATAAATTTGTTAGTACCAAAGGTGTGTTTTTAAAAACGTTGTCAAGAAAAATATCATTCGGCTTATGTATAAATAACCTCCATCAGGCCTTTTTTTCTTAACCAACGCTCCTGCCGTTAGCTCTTCTATATCATGGTACAGAGCCGTTGAAATTTCAAAAACGCGGTTTTTTTTCGTCATTTATTGAAGAGTCAGATTATGCATAGCAAAGGGCACTAAGTGGTTAATTCGCTTTATGCGGCGATAGTAGTGACGCAATGCATTTGCTGCAATTAACAACTAACCTGCTAAGTAAATTGGCTCAAAAACAATATGATAATGTGGTATGGTAAATGAGTGATTGGAATGAGTGTTGAGTTCAGCTTACTTTTATAATGAAAAACATATACGAAGTCCTTTGACATCACTGCCGGTTTCGAACTGTCTGAGAAAAAGGATCGCTCAGGAGAGAAATTTGAGACAGCGATTGTTTACATAGTTGCATGCGGGCAATGGATAGCTTTATGTTCCTAGAAATATACTTAACATAACACCTACTCACAAAATGTAAGTAGTACTGTCATTCGTGATTTGAAGACCGGACATGTGGGTGTCTGCGTGGCCGGTAACTGAGGGGCATGATGTGTGCCGAGTTTGCACTTAAATGAATCCACACAGGGACGTTTCACGCCACAATCACTCTGCCACTAAAGAAAAATGCGCGTCCAGCAATTCTTGGATCGATTTTCCTCGCCCTCCTCTGGAGCTTCACTTGACGGCAGAGGATCTCCGTGCCTGGATGAAGTTCTTTATATTTTGGAAAAGCCGCCTTTGCCAAATCTCATAAAGGCGTCATCTGATCAGGTGCAATACTTGTATAGCAAACACGGCCGCCTTCCTGCAGTGCAATTTTGGTTTCAATGAAGATGCAAATAGCACATCAACGTCTTTATGACTGACAATTTCTGCAGGGATATATCGTTTAAAAAGTAATTTCTCTGGCTGGAGGCTCTGAGACTGACAAGGTGAAGGGTGGTCCACGTTCTTGTACTGAAGTGGATAAGCTCGTTCTATTTATGAACTAGGTATAGAAGCTAGATCGCACGACAAGCAATGTTTCATATGTTCAAAACTGAGAATGACTATTCGGTGGTGGTCATTTGTGACAGTTTTCATGCCTGCCGCGCTCGCACAAAGCCTTATCATGAAATGTTAAACGAACAACAGTAAAGCTGTGATATGAAGGACCAAGTGTCAGTCGGGACCCGGATGCCCTTGCATCATATAACCGATTTGCAGCGGCTAAGAAGGTGAGGGCGCATGCTCAGGGCGCTACAATGATCAAATCGAATCTCAAAGTGTAAGGAGAGGACCAAAATGAAAGAAGATTTTAGTGCAGAACCCACGGTTGTCATCCCGGACGCAGTGGTCACTGGCTTTGCCATTGGCCGGTGTTGACTGTGTCCAAATATGCCTGAGAGAGAGAGAGAGAGGTGGCAGCCGCTTTCGTAGGCTCCTGGGCCAAGTTCTAGTGTTCTCAAGTCGGTGTGTGTTGCATTTGCCAAGGGGTGATGACTCAGTGGCTTACGTTGCTGGTTGCAGGTGTGTGGCGCTTTCAAGTGACCGCATGGGTAGCTGCAATTGCGTGGGCGCGGCCATATGCGAGTTAAAATCGAGTTAAAATCGAGTGGCTTCAGTTCAGTGCTTTGAAACGTACGGCTGCCAAGGGTGAATGACCTTGAGGCAGAGAGGCCTTGGAAAATGACACCAGACTGACCATGATGGCCCTGCGAAACAAGGATTTGTCCGAGTCACGTGGACTGGGACTGAGAAGGGAGAGTGTACCCAACAAACATGGAGGATGATATTAAACGTTACTTACGCCAGAATGCCATAAAGACCAAGCTTAGAAGGTAAAACTTTTTCCTTGTTTTCATTCCTGTAAAGGACTGTTCTATTCAGCTGTTTGGCAGCTCCCCGAACCACGGCGTTTATGGCGTCATGATGTGCGGAATCACTTCAGTTCTATCATAGTACTAGCCGGGCCCGGCCACGCGTAGCTGTGGCTCTGGTAAATTCAAAATTTCTGTTGGATAATTAACCTGCCTCGTCTGCTTCCCCAACAGTGTCGACGGACGTATTTGGGACTGCCTCGCTTTTAAGCTTAGACTGAATACTATGGTTAAGACGCTACATGTTCCCAACAGAGAAAAATGTAAGGGCCACCGGTTGGCGGTATGTATTGTGTGTGAAACCCAGGGTTGTCCTTCTAGCCGCTGCCAAAGACAGGACAGTTTTTTGTTACACTCAGTCGCGCTCGAGAATTCTGATGTCGTTACGGCGGACATTTATTTCGCCCACTGGTGTCGATCGAGGGATTACAGGCAGTGTTTGCCTAAAGTCTCCGTCAAACAGTTCCAGTTCATCTCGAAATGGTCTGCTGTTTCCTCACAAATCCTGCAGTCTTCGATCAAGGGCCTCGAACGCTTTTTTGTGCGCCATTGTTCATTCATCCTTAACAATAAGTTTGCATTTCTGCAGTAATTTTCCCATACTGGGTGCATCAGACATGTAAGACGTAGGAGTTTCAACGAATGGCACTTTCAACGGCTATTTCGCAGCGGAATGAGCCGTCCTGCCGGGAGGTAGCAAGGTCACATCTATTCGAACGGATACAAGAGATAATGCTGTGTCATTTCTGTGATCGAGTTGCTGCCAGAACCAGCTATTGTCGACAACGGCGTCAGGCAATTCAGCGCATATTGCATCGGCGATTTCGTTGTAGGTGATTTTGTTATAGAGCCAGATACTGACGTATTCGTGGGATAGTCCCCTCTTTTGCCATTCCCTCTAATACATCCGGCAGCGCTCAGACCCTAACATCTCGTGTTTCACCATTAAGTTCGTCACCGATTTCGGTTTCTACCTGAAAACACGTGCTGTCATGTCATACCTATTCACCGTCGGTAGCCCAGGAGGTGAGAGCTGATAAATATCACCTCAAGCTGGGTAGCATGTGAATGTAATAAGTAGGTCTGGACACCCGTACTGACAAAGATAAGCAATTGCACCTGGAGCGTACCCCAGCATATGGCGTGAACTGTCTGTGTATGTAAATGACAAAAATCAGTAGTCTTGCAAAATTAGTTGCATTACCGTCGTTTACAACTGCATCATGCATAGGAATATATTCTCCAGAGCGCAGCTTGGTCTGATTCAAGCGAACGAAAAGCAGGCCTCCTGTTTCGATTTTTTGCAGAGATATCCACAATGAAGTTATGAAGCAATTGACGGTAATCTCAAAAGGGGATTACTTACATTCTAATAATAGGTCGGTAGGTGTAGTAGTCTATTACGCTGCATTTCATGTGTGTTTACCCGTCACTGACTGGATTTATCGTCTTAACGTTGAAGTGATATCCATCGGCACCAGCTCGAAAAGTAAATGGATACTGCTTTGAAATCGGTCTCCGACCACCGGTATACGTGGATGGCAGAATCGTTAGTCTTCCAACGTTTTTCGTAGTACCGTCGTTTACAAACGGGTTTCCTCAAGGCCGGCTGCATGACACTGGGCTGACACTGGTTGACAGGCCCCTTATGTGGGTTTTGCGAGGGGGGGGGAAGGGGGCTTTGTTAACCATATCCAGTCCTCACCCCTCGAGAATCCTAGCAGAAGCGGTGACAGCCCGGTTATGCGGGTAGTGTGGGGCAAGTTCAAGTGGAGCCCAAGTCGCATGCTTTTTTGCTGCAGGGTGGGTGGTTTGCCTACCGGCCCAGATTGCATCGGCCCAGAGGGGGTGGAGGGCCTGTTCAACTGCCTGCAGGGTGGGCGCGGCCGTCGGGCCGAGCACGTGCGTTTGAACGAATTTCGGTCACGAGGCCACAGTCTGGGCGCACATGTGTCCGCTTGGATGCAGGTCAAGTGGCCGCAGCAGGTGGCGTTGTTAGGCCGGAAAAAATCTGGTTTTCTACTCATCACAGGCATACCATCGGCATAATTACAAAATTGAATAGACAAAAACCCGACCCTATGCGCTGGTCGTGTTTTGTTCAAATTTCAGCGCAATTGGTGCAGTACTTTCGGAAATTACGCATAACACAGAAAAAAACCTTTCATTTTTATATATTTAGATCTGTAGGTACCTTACATGTTTATCAAGTACTAGCCGGACCCCGCCACGCGTTGCTGTTGCGCAGATTAATTCAAAAGCTCTGTTCGATAATTAACCTCCCTCGTCTGCTTCCACAACAGTGCCGACGGACGAGTATGTGACTGTCTCGCTTTGAATCTTGGACTGAATAATGTGGCTCAGATGGTACATGTGTTTGTTTTTGGCCTCAAGAAGCGCTCGTTCGCTCAATCAGCCGGGATTGTTGAAAGTGGTATGAATTGTGGTAGACACCGTCTCAACCAATTCCTCTTTTGAGGGCACTAAATTTCCGAGGCTACGACGTAAAGAAATCATTCTTGTAGTCGGATCGGCGTGCACCGTTGCATACCCAATTTCTGGTAATTACTGTGAGAATACCTCAGTCGGATCAGCGTGCACCGTTGCATTCGCGATTGCCAGCAATTACTGTGAGAATACCTCGGTGAGAGAGAGAGAGAGAGAGAGAGAGAGAGAGAGAGAGAAATTTGCTTTATTTTGAAATCATATGTTCAAATTTTTCAGCAAAAAGTTGGCTCCATTCACTATGGACAGCAAATAAGTTAATAGATTATTCAAGAGTCAAAGTTTAACACAAGGAAACGATTATTATGGGGATAGTTCAAGTCTTAGCTTCTGTATTTCTGTCTCTTCGCACGTAAAATAGCGCGCTAGGAATGGCAATACAGAAGCTTGATAAGCCGATGTGCGACAGGATATAAGACGGAAGTTGCGGCGCATCGGGCCGGAAGACTTGGCAGACATAAGATCGGAATGTAGGGGATGGGCAACGTCATCTAGAATTCGACCAGCAAATTGCTTGACCGCATTGAAGTGTCGTTGTAAGATAGTGTCAACTAAAAAAATTTAATAAACGCCAGCAGCAGAAGAGAGCATGCGGAGGATTCGTTTCAAAATTAAAAGATCCTTTCTTAACAAAGCAGGAAAAATGACAGGAGAACAGTATAGGATAAGAGGAAGAATGCAGGCATCAATGAATCGCCAGACTAAGGGTTGAGGTGTGTGGTAGGAAAGTAAACGACGTATGTAGTAAAGAAGTTTAAGAACTTTAATAAATAGGGACTCAATATGGAGGGAAAAAGAAAGATTTGAGGACAAAGTAACGCCGAGATACCTGAAAGAGGATACTTCGTTAGGAAGAATGTCAAAGGAATCAGGGGTAGGAGAGAGCCGCAGTCGAAAAATACACGGAACGGATTTTTGGTTGTTAATTAGGAGACCACTTTCCTCCGACCACGCTAGGACATGGTTTAGGCCATCTTTTAGAGACCGGAGGTGTGTCTGACTTTTGAGAGGGTGTCCAACAACCACATCGTCAGCATACTTGACCAGAAGACAGTCATAAGGGTACCTGAGATCATCAGTATGGAGGGAGAAAAGGTGAGGGGATAGAATGGAACCTTGAAGAACACCGCAGTCATTGGGGAGGGTCGAAGATTTCCGCTTGCCAGATTGGACAAATTGGGTGCGGAAGGTAAAATAATCGCTCAGCCAAGAGACGACCCAGCCTGGAAAGCCAACTGCGGAGGTTTTGGAAAGGAGAAGAGGGCGCGGGACGATATTGAAGGCGGAGGAGTAATCAAGAAAAGCGCACGCATACTCGCGGCAACCCTTGTCTAATGGTTTTAGAGCAGAGTGGACCACAAGAGCGACAGCATCTAAAGTACTCCGTTTAGCTTTGTATGCAAATTGTAAGGGTTCGGAAAAACTGGAAGAAGAAGGCTTTATGATATCTAGGGCAACTCTTTCAGCAAGCTTTAGTATTGCAGAGGAGCAGGCAATCAGGCGAAAAGATTTAGGACCAAAGTTAGCAGGCTTTTTAGGGATGGGAGTGATTCTCAGTGAAGTTACCGATTCGCATTCGTACGGTGCCAAGTTGTCGAAGTCTTCCGCTGATCGTTTTCGGTATAAGGAACTTCTGTCTTTACCGGTAACTGTGATGCATACGAATGCCTGAGGATAGCTCTTAGAGCGTTTTCCGTCTATCATACTGGGGGGTGAGGAGTGGGGGGAGGGAGAATTGGAACTCAGGGCACCGTAAATTCCATTTATCATATTCTTCGCCGCGACTGCGGGCAAATTAGTGTCGACGCCAGCGTCAGGTTATTCAGCGCACATTGCATCGGCGATTTCGTTGGAGGCGATCTTGTTATAGAGTCAGATCCAGACGTGTTCCTCGGGCAGTCCACTCTTTTGCTATTCCCCCTAATACATCCGGCAGCGCACAGACCCAAACACCTCGTGTTTCACCATGAATTTAATCAGCGATTTCAGTGTCTTCCTAAAAACACGTGCTGTCATGTCACATCCATTCACCGACGATAACCCAAAAAGTGAGAGCTGATAAATATCCCCCCTAAGCTGGATAGCATGTGAATGTAATGAGTAGGTTTGGACGCCCCGTACTGACAAACATAAGCAATTGCACCTCCAGCGTACCCGAGCATATGGCGTGGACTGTCTGTGTATGTGGACGACAAAATCGTTAGTCGTATTACAGTCGTTTACAACTGTATCATGCAGATGAATACATTTTTCAGAGCGCAGCTTGGTCTGCATCAAGCGAAGGAAAAGCAGGCGTTCAGTTTCGACTTTTGCATACATATCAACAATGTAGTGCTGAAGCAATTGACGGCATTTCAAAAGGGAATTACTTACATTCTTTCGAATCATAAGTCGGTAGGAGTAGCGGTTCATTGCGTTGTATTTCATGTGCGTTTCCTCGTAACTGACTGGGTTTATCATCTTAACGTTGAAGTGATACCCATCGGCACCATCCCGTAAACTAAATAGATACTGCGTTGAAATCGGTCTCGAACTGCCGATATATATGGTATCACCTTACCCTAAAATCGTTGGTCTTCTAACGCTTGCTGGCGTACCGTCATTCACAACAGCATCACGCAGCGTGAACGCTGATCACCGAGTCGTGTTTGACGCTGGTCTGCTGTTCCTTGCTAGCGCCATTCAGCCACTCTCAGTTTGTTGTGTTCATCCTGTTATGAACGGAGCAGACCTGGAGCTGCCGAACGCGGTGGCCGTGACCGCAAGCGGGCTTCCGCAAGCCGGACTGCACGACCCTGGGCTGACACTGGGTGACAGGCCCCTTATGTGGGTTGTGCGTGGGGAGGGGGGAAGGCGGTTTTGTTAACCGCATCCAGTCTTCGCGCCCGAGAATCCCAGCGGAAGCGGCGGCAGCCCAATTATGTGGGTAGTGTGGGGCAAGTTCAAGTGGAGCCCAAGAGTTGCGTGTTTTTTGCTGCAGGGTGGGTGGTTTGCCTACCGGCCCAGATTGCATCAGCCCAGAGTGGGTGGAGGGCCTGCTCAAGTGCCTGCTGGGTGGGCGCGGCCGTCGGGCCGAGCACGTGCGTTTGAGCGAATGTCGGCCAAGTGGCCACAGTCTGGGCGCACATGTGTCCGCGCGGATGTAAGTCAAGTGGCCGCAACAGGTGGCGTTGGTATGCTGGAAAAAATCCCGTTTTTTACTCATCACAGGAGTACCATCGGCATAATTACAATATTGAACAGACAAAAACCCAGTCCTATGCGCGGGTCGGGTTGTATCCAAATTTCAGCGAAATCGGTGCAGTACTTTCGGAGATTAGATATAACACAGAAAAAAACCCTTCCATTATATATATATACTAGCCGGACCCCGCCACGCTTTGCTGTGGCTCAATCTGATGAATTGGGAAATAAGGGAATGAGGAAGGAGCACGTTCACAATTAAGAAGAATGTAAGGGCCACCGGTTGGCGGTACGTATTGTGTGCGAAACCCAGGATTGTCCTTCTAGCCGCTGTCGAAGGCAGGGCAATTGTTTGCTGCACCCAGTCGCGATGGAGAATTCTGAAAAAAGTGGTGACGGCTGCCTTTATTCACGTACCTACAAATGTACCTAATTCATTTCCCGGAATGGCAGTTTTCCACGTTTATGTGAGCTGCGTTTTACTTTTAAAAGCAAAGGCGAATACGAACCCGCCCAGCGGTTACCGACTTCTAAGTCACCGATTCGCATTCGTACGGTTGCCACTTTGCCGATGTCTTCCGCTGATCATTTTCGGTATAAGGGACTTCCGTCTATCTTGCCGGGGGAGCGGGGGACGTTGAAGAATTGGGATTCAGTGCATCCAAGGTCCATATATCATATTCTTCGCCACAACTTCATGAGAATCATTGTCGACGTCGATATCAGGTAATTGGGTGCATACTGCGTCGTCGATTTCGTTGGAAGCGATCTTGTTATAGAGCCAGATCAGGACATGTGCATGGGGCAGTCCCCTCTTTTGTCATTCCACCTAATACATACAATTGGTTATGTGAGAAGCAATCCGTTTGCCGATCCAAAATCGCACAATTCTAAGAACTGGCCCTGAGCTTTGCTGATCGTGAATGCAAACGCCAGTCGAATGGAGAAATGCAGTATCCTAAATCGAAATGGCATGTCAGATGGAATCAGTGGAATGCGAGGAATAAGGATATGCCCTCCTTTAAAAGGTCCTGTGGAGATATTGGATTCCCGTACGTTGTTCACTAATGGGTTTACTGCAAGCCACGTGCCGTTGGCAAGCTTCGGCTGGTTGATTTCTCGCAGCATTATAACCGGCACACCGCTTTTCAATCACAGTAACCGCGCCATCGTCCCTGGCAGATTAAGCGAATTCAAAATTTCTGTGTGACAATTAACTACCTCGCCTGGTTCCACAACAGTGTCGACAGACGTGCATGGGAACTGTCCCGCTTTGTACCTTAGACTGAATAGTATGGTTAAGTAGGCAGACTTCTTGGTTCTTGGCCGCAAGAATAGCTCGTTCGCTCAGGCAATATGATTCACATAATTGGGTTGGATATTGGAAAAGCCCTTTTCAACCAAGTCTTCTTCTGACGATACTAAATTTCCGAAGGTAGGAGGTAGTGAAATGCGTCCTGTACTCGGATCAACTGGCACCGATCCGTTCCCATTTGCCGGCAATGGGTTTGAGAATATCTCAGCTGTTCAGTCGTATTGCAGCTGGACACGCATATACGTAGTTAATTTTAACGTCTGGAGGCGGCGCCACAACGTAGAGTATTTCCGGCAGGCATATATTTCGTCGGTTAGTGTCGATCGAGGAACTACAGGCAGTGTTTGCCCAAGTCTCCTGCAAACAGTAGCAATGCGTCTCCAAATGGTCTTCTGTTTCCATGCAAATCTTGCAATAATCGGTCAAGGACCTCCAGCATTTTTGTGTGCCAATGTGCATTCATCCCAAACAATAAGTTTGCATTTCTGCAGTAGTTTTCCCATGCCGGATGTCTTGGAAATGTCGCACGTGAAGTTCCAATGAATTGCACGTTCAACGGCAATTGTAAAGCTGAATGAGCAGTTCTTCAAAGGGGAAGCAAGTTCGCAGCTATTCCGGACGACAGAAGAACTAAGGCTATGTCAATTTTAGACCGAAGTGCTGCCAGAATCAGTAGCAGTAGGAACGTTTTTACCAGTCCCTTTCTGGCGCATCCAAAAAGATTTCTCCAACCCCGCTATTGGCAGACCGCATTGTTTAATCGTAAAAACCATCCTGTTCCAGTGTTAGCTTAGAAATGCTTGATTGCAGATAAGACAGAAGATCAACCCTGTTGTAGGTTTGCTCACGCCGCAAATCCACGTCTAACGAAGTAGGAGCAGATCGTTTTCGGTGATGGCTTTCCCATTTGATTGAGAACTCTGTTCGTGATTTCTATGTACACATCCTCAATCATTATTAACACCTCGTTGTAGATTTTCTACTGTGAAATCATGATTTGATTTGTCCCTGCGTATTCGACGGAAGATGCCGTCTACACGCATTCCCTGTGTAATACTTAGGCACTTCCGAATGCAGCAGTGTTTTTGCAAACGCGCCATTTTGGCTTAACGTGAAGAACGCAGTTAATGTTGTTGCTGGTAGATCTAAGGCAACCTGTTACACATTTGCAGCTGTAAAGTAAACGCATTGCTCATTCTCTAACAGTACTGCGCGATTTCATCGACTTGTATGTCCACATCCCTCCCCCTCCTTTCCTGTTGCAGACCGAAAACGGCCATGACACTGCCTTTATTCACGTACTTACAAATGTACCTAATTCATTTCCCGGAATTGCGGTTTTCCACGTTTATGTGAGCTTCGTTTGCTTTTAACAGCAAAGGCGAATACGAAACAACCCGGCGGTTACCGACTTGTACGTCACCGATTCGCATTCGTACGGTTGTCAATTTGCCGACGTCTTTTCCTGATCGTTTTCATCGCCGCGACGGCGTGCAAATCATTGTCGACGTCGGCGTCAGATGATTCAGCGCACATTTCATCGGCGATTTCGTTGGAGGTGATCTTGTTATAGAGTCAGATCCAGACGCGTTCGTGGGGCAGTCCACTCTTTTGCCATTCCCCATAATACATCCAGCAGCCCGCAGACCAAACCACATCGTGTTTCACCATGAAGTTCATCAGCGAATGCAGTTTCTTCCTAAAAACATGTGCTGTGATGTCGTCATACCTATTCACCGGCGATAGCCCAGGAAGTAAGAGCGGATAAATATCCCCCCAAGCTGGATTACATGTGAATGTAATGAGTAGGTCTGGACGCCCGTACTGACAAACGTAAGGAATTTCACCTCGAGCGTACCCGAGCGTACGGTGTGGACTGTCTGTGTATGTGAATGACAAAAACGTTAGTCTTACAACGTTAACTGTATTACCGTCGTTTACAATTGCATCATGCAAAGGAGTGTATCCTTCAGAGCGCAGCTTGATCTGATTCAAGCGAATGAAAAGCAGGCGTCCTGTTTCGATTTTTTGCATACGTATCCACAATGTAGTGATGAAGCAATTGACAGCATTACATTCTGTCGAATTATAAATCGCCAGGAGTAGTAGTTTATTGCGCTGCATTTCATGTGCGTCTCCTCGTCATTGGATTTATCATCTTAACATTGAAGTGTTATCCATCGGCACCATCCCGAAAAGTAAATGGATACTGCGTCGAAATCGGTCTCCGACTGCCGGTATGTGTTGGATGGCAAAATCGTTAGTCTTCCAACGGGTTTTACCGTACCGTCGTTTACAACAGCGTCACGCGAATGAATGTGTTCTTCAGAGCGCAGCGTGAATGCTGAGCACGGAGTCGTGTTGGACGCTGGTCTGCTGTTCCTCGCTGGCGCCATTCGGCCACTCCCAGCTGGCTGTGTTCATTCTGTTGTGAACGCAGCAGACCTGAAGCCGCAGAACGCGGTAGCCGTACCGCAACCGGGCTTCCGCAAGCCGAGCTGGACAATACTGAGCTGACATTGGGTTGACAGCCCCATTATGTGGGTTGTCCGGGGGGAGGGGGAGGGTCTGGTGTTAATTGCATCCAGTCCTCACCCCCCAAGAATCCCCGAGTAAGCCGTGACGGTCCTATTATGTGGGCTGTGGGACAATTTTAAGTGGCGTCCAAGTGTTGCGTGTTTTTCTGCTGCAGGGTTGGTGGTTTGCTCTGGCGACCCATATTGCATCGGCTCAGAGGGGGTGGAGGGCCTGGTCAAGTGCCTGCAGGGTGGGTGGTGGGTGAGCGCGGCCGTCGGGTGGAGCACGTGCGTTTGAGCGAATGTCGGTCAAGTGGCCGCCGTCTGGGCGCACATGTGTCCGCGCGGATGTAGGTCAAGTGGCCGCAGCTGGTGGCGTTGTTAGGCCGGAAAAAGTCTAGTTTTTTACCCATCACAGGCATACCATCGGCATAATTACACATCTGAACAGCCAAAAACCCGGCCCTATGCGCGGGTCGGGTGGTGTCCAAATTTCATTTAAATCGGTGCGGTACTTTCGAAGATTAGATATAACACAGAAAAAAAATCCTTATATATATAGATAGATTTGCTTTGGGAAATTTGGCTTTAAAATGGTTTTCAATTCAATGACAATTATGAACCCAAACTAACGTCGCACATGTCTTTATGGATTAAGACCATACAGTGTAGTTGACAAGAAACACTTCGAGTTCATTTGTCACCCAGAGATGCGTGACTTTTTAAATTTCGTTTCCAAAAATGCCCAGAGCATAGAATTTGACACGAAGAGTCGAGCACGTGCAAGGCCTTTATATGTTCATGAGTCATGGTTTGCCAGTGCTGTTGAAATGTCGCATCAATAGGGCGGGAAACAATCGTGACATCTGAGCACACAATGCCACCAGTATATGTTGAGGATAATTTCGTGCATCAATTGGTATTAAGCTGACCAACACAGTCAGATTAGTTAACAGCACTTGCATCTTCTATGGAATATAAGTGGTAAAATTCAGGTGCATCGTATTAAGTGCCTAGTATGTAAACAAGTGTCATACGTTGCTCGCCTGTCACCTTGCGGCATACTATTGAAGTTCACGAAAAAAGGGGGAAGTCGAGCCTTGGGAATCATTCATACCCAGGTTTCAGTGTACTTTCCGCCGGCCTTCCTTACTGCCTATTCGGTGCACAGTTGAAGATATTGAGCTGCTGCTGTGGGGTAGTCAGATGAACTTTCCCATTCCAGAAGAGCCGGCCAAGAGTAATTCGTTCGCAGCAATTGACGGAGATTCTGTGGATATGCTCAGCACCTCTGTGGGTTGTCAGTTGAGTAAATGCATGCATTGGTTGGAGAATCTTATGACAGTAAGCTAAACTTCCATGTAAGGTTCCGAATACAGTCGAATATCATGCAATTCTGGTCATCCATCAACATCATTTCAGCTATGTCATTCACGCCGGTTTTGGAGCACAATTTCATTTGGTCGCTGGCAATGACCACATAACATATAGATTGATCGTTTACGTACAATGCTTCTTAGATCAAATGCCCATTAGTTTAAATATATTCATAGTTAACATCTACAAAACCGCTAATATTAGTACGAATCTGTAGGTACCTTACATGTTTATCAATCATCTGCTTTGGGAAATTCGGTTGTAAAATAGTTTTCAATTCAATGACAATTATAAACCCAACCAGACTTCGCTCATGCCTTTAAGGATTTAAAACGCCAAGCTGTCTGTCTTCGGAAGACATTTTGCACTGGATTAGGACCATAGAGTGTAGTTGAAATGAAGCACTAAAAAACATACAGATGGGATGCTAGTTGGGTGGATATTTGGCGGTCTTAATCATCTAAATATATATATCATCTATATATATATATATAAATGGAAGGGATTTTTTTCTGTGTTATATCCAATCCACGAAAGTACTGCACCGATTGCGCTGAAATTTTGACACAACATAGCCAGCGCATAGGGCCGGGTTTTTGTCTGCTAAGTTTTGTAATTATGCCGATGGTATGCCTGTGATGGGTAAAAAACCGGATATTTTCCGGCATAACGCCACCTGCTGCGGCCACTTGAACTACATCCGCGCGGACACATCTGCGCTCACCCACGGGCCACTTGACCGACACTCGCTCAAACGCACGTGCTCCGCTAACTACACCGCAGCGAGAACTGACTAGAAAATGTGCCCTAAAATTTCCAGGTAGTAACGTTGTCCGTAGGCTGGTAGTGGGAGAAGACAAAAAGCACACGGTCGAAAAAAATCAAACCATAGACAACAACCATCTCTCTCTCTCTCTGTCTTTCACTTCCTGCAACATCCAACAAGAGAAACATAAAGAGAAAGAGCGGACATCAAGGATATCACAATGAAGCATAAATACAATCGAAAAGCAAATCGTCAACTCTGCGACAATTATCGAGGCATCTGATTGCTGAACATCAGAGGGAAAATTTTTGATAAAATCCTTCTGAACAAAACCCTAAATGAAGATCTGCCGAATATCCCGTGCGGACTAAATGGTCATCGCAGGATCACGCACATGAATCGCGGGACTTGCAGGGCGAATTCGCACACACTGGCAGCCTGGAATGTTTGTTGCCTCTTAGACAATCGGAGGAGCAACCGACTGGCACGATTAGATCGGCGGAGGAGAAAAAGGAAGATGCTGAGAGTTGTTTCTTCTTTAGTTCTTCCGGACTTCCCTTTTCCGCATGCGGACACGGCCAGTCTGCAGACGGCATGGATACACAGCATTTGACTAGGCAAACTATGCTATCTCGTTCCCCCTGGAGACAACGAACCCAGGAGTGTGAGGAGAAAAAGATGCACTGGATAATGTGAAAATTTACAAAAAATATAAATTATTTCACCCAAAATTCGTCAATTACAAAATGGTAACCGGACGTATAAAGGCTGATTGACCAGGCTAAGAGCATGAATGACTCTCGTCCGTATGGACAATCATCTTCGGCCTTATCCTCGCCAGCATAATTATCCTTGCGTGATCCGCTATCTAGAATACAAAGGGAGCTCTTTTTTTCTTCCAAACCGCTGTTTCTCACTCAAATGCATCTAATAAAATAAACAGCCGCCTAATTCCAACGCTGATTTCCTGACATACACGTCATATACAAAATCTAACTCAAAGCGCAGTGGTTAGATGCATGGATATTCAACTGACAGGTCGCGAGATGGATCATTGTGTGTTCCACATTCAGGGGTTGATTATGACAGGCTGCTGACGACTACTAAGCCAACAATTGCCATTTCAGACTCCCTTGTCTTTGTCGGTAAAGCCAAATTGCCTATATCATGGGCCGCTCAGCGGTTGCTGGTTGGGCTCGAGAGAGAGAGAGCCTCTAGGGCACAACGGAACAAGTGAGATCCGTATGAACTATCGATGAGCGCCCCCTACCATCCAGATCTAAAGGTTTGCCAACCAATCATACAAAGCGATTCGCCCAATCGCCCGCAGATTTCGTATCGCATCAGAATAGTTATGCTACAAATATCCCATGCAATTTTACACTCGCTGCGCCCTATATCAGCACAGCCAGGACTACCTATATGCCCGTACTCGGTCTCCCCTTCTTCACAAATATGCCAATGTTGCCACGCAGGAGGGTGTGACAGAATATAGCCTCAATTTCAGTGGGCGGTCAGTTGACCGCAGACTAATGACGCATCATGCAGCTCACGCGTATTATGCTCTCTTACGCATGAGCCAACCGCCTTTGCGCAGAGCCTAACAACACTTGTCTTAACATCCTCACCAAAACCTTTATTTCGTGCCGCTATTTAACGGTACACTGGAACAGAAGGACCATATCTCACGCAACATGTGCATCGTCAGCCAACTGGCAAATATAAATTTAGTCGGGCTGGCAGGCTCTCTGCTCAAAGATTATCATTTAGCCGAAAATCTTCTAGCAGCACCCAATTGTCCTCTCTCATCTATATGACATGAAGCAGAACGCACGGTGTCTGTAGGGTGGAATGGCCACGAGATGCCTGATGTATTTGTCCTGACATTTTATGCGGTTATGACCCACCAGCTAGTCGCGAAGGACTAAAACCAGAATTCACTTAGAACTGCGTCGTGCATTGCAATGCAGTCGGAATGCTTTTCACATGATAGAGAGTGCGTTACTTCAACAACCTCAAACGACTTCTCTTAGGTACTTCGCTACTGCAGCCCATTTCACAAAAAAGTCATTTGGAAATAGACCAGCCAGATATTCAAGACCTCACATTCTTTCCTATCCCTACATTTAAAATGCACCCACACTTCGCTTTAAGCAAGGAACCGATAGAATGCAATAACACGTTTTATTGGACAAATATGGCAATCAGGAATATGTACAAGCATCAGAGATTAGCAGAATAAAAATCACCTGTGTACAAGGATAATAGGGATATCTTCTATGCGCTGGCTGGCAAATTGCCACAGCAGACGAATTTCCGCCATATGTAACCCAATCGTCTGCGGATGGGCTTCCGTTCTCGGTGGTCGAGCAACATGTAGGCATCTAACAGGAGAAGAGTGAAGGAAAAGAGAGCGGGATATGTCATAAGGGAGATGAAGGGCTGAAGAACTAAAATGACAGTAATGTAGTTGTAGACATACGCGACGACATGTCAACGGACCTCCATCGTGGAGGCCGCCGCCTGCCGGCAGATGGTACGGGCATTGTCATTTGAATCACTTCTCTGTCTCTGGCTGCCACTACTGCACACGTGTGGCAGTTTGCAATATTTACTTCCAAGACGACAGCAAGACAGTCCGCGTCTCCAGCAGCGTGCACATTCTGCTGCTGCTGCTGCTGCTGCTGCTGCTGCTGCTGCTGCTGCTGCTGCTGCTGCTGCTGCTGCTGCTGCTGCTGCTGCTGCTGCTGCTGCTGCTGCTGCTGCTGCTGCTGCTGCTGCTGCTGCTGCTGCTGCTGCTGCTGCTGCTGCTGCTGCTGCTGCTGGTCCCCCTCCTTCACTTCCAGTTTTACGCCGTTATTGTCATTGGCGCTGACGTCCTCCTCCTCCTCATCCTGCTCATCCTCCTCCGAAACTTCCTCGATTCCTTCGAGCTCTGGAACAAACTTGAGCTTTCTTAACTGCGGTTTAGGGTGCTGCACGGTGTTATCTATTGCAAAGTAAAGAAGGCTGGTTTAAGTAATAGGAAACGGCTGTGCAACGGTCAGAATGGGTAGTGCAAGTAGTTAGTGCACTTACTGGGACCTGACTGCTCCATCTCATCCTGTCCTACCAAGCCACTCCCTATTCCTCCCCCATTTTCAGTTGCTTCCTCCACCTCCTCCTCCTCCTTCTCCTCATCCTCCTCCTTCTCCTGCTGCTCCGCTTCGCCACATCCCGAATTCCTGAAGGCTACCGACTCGGCACCAGCCGCCGATGGTAGATCATTATACCGCAGACCTCTGCAATCGTTCGTTACGCGCACATTGCTGAAAGTATTTTCAAGGAGACGAGACATCTTCCCTCCACAGAGCTTCGCATGGCAAAGATAAACTTCATGCAGATGGAACGAAAACATAACGAGGAACAACGATGGGGTAGAAAGGACGATGCCTACAAGTAAAGAGATGCGATGTATCTGTTAGACTATAATCCTGTCTGCCTATTCTCACATATTTATTTGAAGCCTGTAGAAGTCGCAAAGATGAAAGACTTCATTGCAGTGCACAGTGATTAAAACGATATCACGAGGTGCATAAAGGGATTTAATGCCAGCACTTACCAATTAACAGGTAAAAAATAACGTTCGGGACGTAATTAATCCAGGGAAATGAAATCATCTCACAAATGATTTGAATGAATACACGTATGACAAGAATTTCTAGGCAAAGACCGCGCACCGACTGCAGCGTCATAATTACTGACCGGGGTTGAATTTGAATGGCTGAGGGTTATCGATCTTGTGCAAGTCGCCGTTCAAGTGCCAAGATGGCAGCGCGACGGTCGAACATGTGCACGTGCATGCAGGAGGCGAAGTTGGGTTGTTTAGGAAGCTTCTGATCCAAAGGAGATCTTTGCTTTCTCAACTCTCATCACTTTGGTTGGCCCTGTGTGCTGCGTTTGCTTGTATTTAGACGAAGGGCAGAGCAGCAACGGCACGGCGATGCCTCAGGTTGTAGGCGTGTTTAATGGGAATAACTGCTGTTGACAGGGGACAATTGTTAACTTTTTATTAACCCGGAACAGGTTGGCTAATCCAATTCCCGATTACCTCTTTCAAAAACCACACTGCTGAATAGGACGCCTAACAGCTGAGCGGGATTGAAGATTGAAGGAGAGTAGAAAGGATAGTGGGAGAGATACATGATTTATGTTAAGGACATCGCTTCTCAACAGGATGTTGTTCATCGCATAGGCCGAATAAGCCATTTGGTCTAAAAAGGTTTTGGTTAGATAGTTCAGCAGAGAGGCCTTACCCTTAGGCATACACACTGGCTCAAAAGGATTTATGATAAGTCCTAGGAGGAAAAGGACGAGGTTTTGAATGCTGAAGCGGACGAAAGGGGGGGGGGGAATGGGAAGCGTGGGGAGGCAGATCATAAAAGGGAAGAATTTGGGGCTTGAGTATGCCGCGGCTGCAATGGCAAGCCCGTGGTGGAGCACACCGTGGACATCGTCCTAATCGTACGCTGAACTGCCAACTCGTGCTTTATCAATTCGATGACGGTTATCCGCTGACATTAGATGCTAACAATGCTTGTGTGAGAATTTGGCAGCCCAGCCACTGCCCAATAGACTGCAACATGACAACGCCATCAATGGATGGATGGAAGTGCTGGTAGTGTTTGTGTTGGTGTGTGTGGGTATTGGTGGATATGTTGTTCATGGTGTTACGGAATAGGCTTTAGCATGGCATATGTGCCAGGGATTGGATAATGTCTTAAGATTTAAGAATTATTTTAAATGTTTTACTGTCATTACTGCCTAACCCTAACCTCCTAACATTAACCCTAAACACATCCCCCATATCCTAACCCTTTTCCTTACACTAGCCCTATCCCTCACTCTTACATCCTACCCATTGCCATAACCCTCCTACCCTAACCTAGCCCTAATCCGTTGCAATATATTCGAATATACGCGCCCTAGTTTGCATACTTGAATAAGCAGCCACGACCGCTTGTACAAGAGATGATTTAGCGTTTCTGATTCGTGCTACAACTCGTACTCATAGACAAAATGCGGATAGGTGTGGTTCATGCAAGACGGGCTGCAGTATTTCTAGGAAGCTCTTGCCATGTTACCTCATACTTATGAATATTCACGGATGGATTTGTGCTGCAAGTTAACACCTGTTGAAAGTCACTACTCACGCTACTCATTGGAAATCATTGCACTCCGTGTAATTATTACCCGCTGGACGGATTTCTGGTTGTTGCTCACTACGATTTCATCTCTTTCCCTGCCCACGATGCCTTTGCATATTAACTCACATGTTCAGTCACATGCGTATCCACGACCGTGGACTTCGGCGCGATGTCGACGAGATTAATACAGTTCGCACAGCAACTATCTCTCGCATCCCAATCAGCAGTGCGTGCAGCAGTAGCAGCATCACGGTCCCTACCAAATTAACACCTCTCAAACTATCCTGCCCACCCTATGGCTGCACGTTCACCTAAGTCATCGGACTAGTCACTGCATTTCTAACCCACCGCACGAAGACTGTTCCACAAGCGTATCAAACCCCGACATCCTGTCGCCCCATCCACCTTTACAGATCCCATTGACCGCACATTATCGTGCACTGCATGGAACTTTTCGGTCATAGGCGGCTTCGAGAAGCCGTTTGGAAAATCATTGCGGACTTGAACACATCACCACACTTTCCGCTCATCGACCACCACCCGCCAACCCACACCAACAGCAACACCACACCCGCCAACACCAACGACAACACCACCACCACCATCATCATCATCATCATCGTCGTCGTCGTCATCATCATCAGTCTGCTTAGCCATCCAATTATGGCGTTGTCATTTTGCAGTCAATAGGCAGTAGCTGGGCTGCCCAACCTCCACACAAGCATTGTTAGCATTGTTGTTAACGAACTGATGAAGCACGAGGTGGCAGTTCTGCCTACGATTACGACGATGTCCACTGTGCGCGCGCAACCACAGGATTGCCATTGCGGACGTGCCATGTGAAAGGGGCCGCCGCGCTTTGAGACCTCTGCAGCGATCGCGTCATTCACGGACGTTTTTCTGCTGGAGAGCTGCTGCACGTTCCTGATGGTTTCGTTGAAATGTGCTGGAAGTCGAGGGCAAAGTTGGTCCCCACTTGCGGCAGACCGACAACACCGGCGTCAAATAAGTTGGTCGAACGGTTGAGGATGTCTCAGAATTGCTCGATCCATCACTTAAGTATATGTGTCTTCTCGGTGAGGAGGGTACTGACGTCGAGGCTGAGGAGGGGTGCAGTACATCTGGCTGGTGGACCATAAACAGCTTTGATCGTGGAGAAGAAATTCTTCGCTTCGTTGCCGTCCGCGTATCCTTGGACCTCCTAAGCCTTGTGAGCCGTTCACTCATCCTGCATCTCGCACATCCGCTGTTGTAGAAGGCAAAGACTGCGGTAGAAAGCAGCTCTGTTGACATCGGTGGAGCGGTCGATGTAGGTTTTGTGTTGGCAGTTCTTCCCGGCGAGCAGGTTGCTGATGGCGGCGTTGTTGCAAACCGACCGAGGACAGCCAGCGCCGTCGACATGACCGTGTCCCGCATTTGACCTCATCGGTCCTCAACGTAGGAGTTCTTGTCAGCGGCGGCTGCGTTGGCAGTGTAGCGGCTAAGCGTAGATGGTGTAAGCTCAGTACGCCACAACTTCAGGCTATATGCCAACTGCGGCCGTCATTGGGCAGTGGTGTAGGAGGAGGAGGAGGATGGGAGTGGTTGTTTAGAAGAATTGTCAGTGTATGTTGGCGGAGGAGAGTCCGAGGAAGATGGGTGCGGGGGGACGATGGTTGGTGCAGTTCGAGAGACGCAGTTTATCCGAAGATGTACAACGAGTCCGATTCAAGCCCGGAATGTCCGTTGAAAGTGAGGACACTTTAGGAGCGTTTGTGCGTCTGCATTGCGTACTGGACGAAGTTGTGATTTGCGGGCTACGCGTTTTGCTTTGCCGGCAGTTGGTTGGTTTTGTAGCTAGCAGCGCCTGTTTTCACTGTCCACTTCCAGGTCGGTCGGTCAAGTGCAAGCTGTTCCTAGTTGGCCGACTTGATTTGCAGACTCTTCAGGGAGGACTTCAGAATGTCTTTGTATCGACGAATATGGCCTCCTTGACGGCAAGAACCCGTCGCGACGTCTCCGTAGAAGAGGCGTTTGGGTAGTCGCTCGTCGTCCATGCGCACCAAGTGGCCGCTCCAGCGCAGCTGCATTTGCCTCAGTATGGCGTAGATGCTGAGGATTCCCGTTCGTTCCAGTACTTCCGTGTCGGGGATTCGATCCTGCCAGTTCAGCCTCAGGATGCGACGAATACATCTGAGGTGGAAGTTATTCAGTCGGCGTGCCTGATTTGTGTACACTGTCCAAGTCTTCGTTTCGTATAGCAGCGTCGGCAGGATGATGGCCTTGTACATCTCCAGCTTCGTGCTCAGTTGAAGACCATGACTGCTCCAAGCTGTGCTTTGGAGGCGGCCGAAGGCTTGACTGACTTTCGAAATCCTGTTGTCGGCTTCGTCATCGATCTTGATTTTGCGGGAGAGGGTACTACTTAGGTACGGGAAGTTCTCTACCACTTGCAGTTGGGTTTCCTTCACGCTGATTTGCGGTGCGTTGAGGGGTGTGTCTGAGTTGGGTGGCGGTTGATGCATCACTACCGCCTTCTGCGTGTTGATGACCAGCCCAAAGTTCTCGCAGTCGGCGGAGAACAGGTCCATGCTGCGTTGCATCTCCTCTTCCGTGGTGGTGGTGTTCCGGGCGCAGTCTTTGGCGAAGAGAAGTTCGTGAACAATGGTTAGGGATACGCGCAATTGGGAATGCATTCACTGTTGATTCAGAAGGTGACCGTTCGTCCTCTAGGCGACGCGGATCCCGGGGCTTTCGTCTTGTTAGGCGTCCATCAGCGTGGCAGAGAACATAAAACTGAAGAGGGTTGGTGCCAGCACACAGCCCTGTTTCCTTCCGTTGGTTACTGCGAATGCCTCTGAGACAGCTCCGTTGTCCGTGACTCGCGCCATCATACCGTCATGCAGTTGACGCACCATCTGAGTGAACCGCTCCGGACAGCTGAATTTCTGCGTGCTATTCCACAGTCCTTCACGATTCACCCTGTCAAAGGCTTTCGTCAGGTCCACGAAGGTAGAGTACAGGTGAGTCCGTATCTCCTGGCACTTCTCCTGAAGTTGACGGGCGACGAAGATCATATCCGTGGTCCCGCGATAGCAACGGAAGCCACACAGACATTCCGGTAAAAAAAACCCTGTTCCAGATGATTATTCATTTATGGATTGTTCAGGCGGTTGAGAAGGATGCGAGTAAAGATCTTCCCGGCGATGTTCAGCAAGTAAATGTCATGGTGATTGTCGCAGAGTTGGCAGTTGTTTTTTCGTTTGTAGAGATGCACAATGGTTGCGCCTTTGAAATCTTGCGGGACTTCACCTTGACGCCACATCTACTGGAAGAGCGCAGTCAGGTGATCCATCAGTAGGGGACCTCTGTGCTTGTAGACCTCAGCAGGGATTGCGTCCGATACGGGTGCTTTCCCGCTGGAGAGTTGTTGCACGGCCCTGATAGTTTCCTGGAGAGATGGCGGGAGGTCGAGGTCCACGTTGATTCCCACTTGCCGTAAACGGTCGATGGCGGCGTCGGAGATGGTGGAAGAGCGGTTGAGGACGCCTTGGAAATGCTCGGCTCATCGCTGTGGAATTTGTGTCTTCTAAGTCAGGAGAGTACTACCGTCCGTGCTGGGAAGAGGAGCAGCGGCCTTTGTCGGCGGACCGTAGACAGCTCTGATCGCAGAGAAGTTTGTCCATTCGTTGCGGTCCGCGAATCCTTTGCTTTGCGGGCACTCTAGACGTCCTTTACCTCGCGCAGTCGTTGCTGAAGTTGGCGGCAACTGCAATAGTAAGCAGCTTTGTTGTCCTCGGTCGGGTGACCTACGTAGGCTTTGTGTAGGCGGTTCTTCTCAGCAAGCGGTTTTCTGATGGCGGCATCGTTGTCGTCGAACAAGTCCTGGTATTGGTGGGGAGTGCGACCAAGGACGGCAAGCGCTGTTGAAAGGACCGTGTCTCGCAGTTGACACCAGCGGTTCCCTACGGGAGCGTTCTCGGCGTCTAAATGGGAACAAACATTCCAGTCTTCAAGAGTAAGCGGTCTCACCCTGCTAGTCTGGCGACAACGAGTGGGCCGACGGGAAGGTCGTAGAGAAGAAGGTGACGAAGGAGGAGAATAGGCAGACGAAGAGGTAGGATGAGGAGGTGAGCGAGTATGATTGTTGTTTTTGTTGCTGTTATTTTTATTGCTATTGTTGTTTCGGTTTTGATTGTTTCGATCATGTTTATGACATCTGCGGCCCTGGCTAGCCTGCAGACGGCGTGGTACACAGCAATGTTTAGGCCACCTTTTCTAAGCCCTTGCCTTCGCGATGGCAGGCAGTGCCACCTCTGAATAGGGCTGCCCATGTGCCTATTTGGAGCGACCGAACCCAACTATGGGGCCACGACTTGTTGTCCGTAGTGCAGAACGACCGAATTTGCCGTACGTCCGCGGTCTCCGTAGGCGAAGGAAATGCGGAGACCCACCCGGCAAAAGCTGTCCAAAGGCGTACAAGACAGAGCCTCGTCTCGACGATGCCGGCGCAGTGTTCCATCCGACCAAATATCCAACGGAGTCAACAGTACACTGTGCACGCGGCACAACGCGCACAGCGCCCTCACCTGGTTTAGCCCGCCGGTCGAGGCGGTTGCCCGGGGTGTGGCCGCTGGGCAGAGCCCAGCTACGTGGAGTCACAGGGGAAAGTTGGGTGCCAGTAAATGGACGCTAGGCGCAGTCTCACCTGCAATCAAGTGAGCGACCACTACGACCATCACGTGAACCCACTGCTGGGCGCCACTACACCCCCCCCCCCTCCCGCACATCACAAACCCACACATTTGATCTTCGCCATTAGGGAGCATGCGCATCCGCAGCAGCGGAGTTGTTAGCAATATCACTGGGATAGGCCAAACACTAAAAGTGTCATCGGCCATCAACACCATCACCAGCACAATTACCAACACCAAAAGCACAATCAACACCAACGCCAACACCATGAGTTTACGCGTTTCTATCACTCTGCCAACCAACACCAGTTGCATCTTTAATAAACCTACACCACCTGTGATCACTCCTTCACAGCATTTATTGGTCAGGTGCCAGTAGTCTCAGCATATACCCGTCACACAGGCCTTACCTGCCTTCATCGCTACAAGATAGTTAGGCAACGCTTGACTCCTTGCAGTCGTAAAGGCATGCATGAGTGTTTTTAGTCGGAGATTGCTGTCCAGATCCATAATCAATTTTTCTCGCTCTGCATGCCCACTCATCTACCATTAGAACCATAATAGCCTATGAGAACAGCTTGGAACTAATGAAAGTGGATTTGTAGATGCCATCTATGAATCTATTTGAACTAAGAGGCATTTCATTTAAGAAGCATTCAACGTAAGCGATCGATTTATACGTTCTCTGGTTATTACCAGTGATCGAATGAAATTGCGCTCCAAAACCGGCTTGAATGACATAGCTGGAATGATGCTGATGGATGACCAGCATTGCATGATATTCGAATGTATTCGGAACCTGATATGGAATTATAGCTTACAGTGGCGCGCGCTTCGAATTTGGTTTCAAATTTTCGTCCTCTCTCGGAATTTAGTTTCTTCGGGAATTCGACTTACTGTACGCTCTTAGAGCCTCAATTAAGACGGAATTAAGACCTAAACTCGACTCATCAACATCTTCCTCCCAACTAATCTTCTGCAGCACATTCCCTGTACTCCGATTTCGGCCGTGCTCGTTTCTACAACTTGCAAGCCCAGACAGACGGATTATCTGCAGAACAATACATCCGAAGCTTCTACAAAGGCTGAGTTGCTTTTCCACTATTAGACATTGTTTCATCATCGTCTCAAAGTATCTGTCTAAATTTCTGCCCTCGGAAGCTTCTCGACAATACCATGTGAAGTTACTTTCTACAGAAAGATCGTCATAAAAGCCATTTCTTCATACTTAAGCCTGCGCTCTTTGTGTATATAGAAAATTTATCCAGAATGTTGGAGTCCGTACCAGTGTTTCAAAGTAACGCGCACTCGGGGTTCGAACCGGGGACCTCAAAAGCTAGAGCCAGCTCCGCTAACCCCTGCACTATCGCCGCACGACCGGAACACACAACTAAAAGCTTTGTTAATTTGTCACCACAGGATCTCGTAGGATATTCATGTAACGGTTGTCAAACGATAGCCTACAAGAGGCATCAACAAGAGGAAGAAGTAAGAAATCTGAAGGAACTCATATACAAGACTGTTTCTTCAGAGGACCGCCCGGTGTTATCTACGCAGACGCTAACTCGGAGTAGAGCGAGAGCCATCCAGTGTAAAGAATCCCCAGAAAGCAATCATGTGGTGAATAAGACAATTGCTGTTAGTAGGCAAATAGTGGCATCCGATGAAAAAAGAATAAGAAGAAGAAGACGACACTTAACACCACAGGGAAAAGTCGCCAGAATACGAAAGAGAGCATATCGGTCTTGTCCGAAAAGCCGTTGAAAAACGAAGCGACCGTAGATGTGCCAGCAGAAGAAGTGAAAGGAAAGGAGCAGTTGACGCCCAACCGTAGAAATCCCCTGACAATGTGCTCATTTCCGGAGCCTAACTTAGAGGGCTTATCAATTAGCACAATGACATATGGTTATGGACCCATGGTGGAATTAGCTGCCACCGCGAATTCCCATGTCAACAGAGTTGAGAACCGAGCCGAGGAAGTTTCTAATTCATGGGAGTCAAGCTCTCTTCAGAGCCCTCTGATGGGAGGCAGTGCCGATCAACCACATCGTGCAACTATTCATGATGCCTCAACAAGATCCGCGGACGAACTTCACGGGGACATAAATACCAATATGACGGCCCCTTCCTTTTCGCCAGTCCACTTCGACGAGGACAAAGGACCGGTCAACGGCGTCCAAACCGCAGAACACAGAGGAATGCTTAACAAGGATCACTGCATCATAATTCAGGGCCTCCCAGAGTCCTGCGCCAGTGCCCCCAGGGAACGAGTCGCTGCTGACTTAGAGCAATTCCAGGAAATCCTAAATGAAATTCTGCAACCAACAGAAGATGTCACAGTCCTAAAGGCGTTTCGTCTTGGTAGCCGTACAACCGCCCCTCCACAGACACGACCAAGACCCCTGAAACTTGTCCTAGGTAGCAATGAGCAGACGAAACTAATCCTTTCAAGACGTTTTTGACTGAAACATTCTCATAAAGGAGTGTTTTTTTCAGCCGGACTACTCACGTGCCGAGAGAATGAGACGCCGCGAACTTGTCCTAGAATTGAGAACGCGACAAACCAACGGAGAAAAAGACTTGACAATCTACAACGACCGGATAGTCAAACGACATTCCGCCCCCCTCTGGATCAAGCCGATCCGAATGACCGCACAGATACCACGGTAGCCTGTGTCGGGGTTGATAAAAAATCACGCATGAACTCTAAACTCATATTCATGCATACCAACGCGCAAAGTGTACTTTCTAAACTGGATGAACCTCGTATCCTTACCCGAAGCTTCTACACAGACTGTGGTGGCGCACACTGTCATTGGTCTGAGCACTGTGGGGGCCCCGTCAACCACCGGGGATGGGAACTCCACCCCAACCTATCCTCATTGCGATCGAAAATGTGCGGTCAATGTGATCTGTAAAGGTGGTTGTGGCGACAGGATGTCGGAGCTAGATAAACTTGCGGACCAGTCTTCGTGCGCTGTGTTCGAAATGCAGTGACTAGT